TTTCCGGGAGGCATATTATCCTCTTTAATAACAACGCGTCGTCGACCTTAATATTATTATTTACTGTTCTTCACTTCGATCTACTCTGAAGCTGTTGAAGATATTCACTGGACCACTTTTTCCTAAATTGTTCGTTCATAGCTAGTACCATCTGCCATCGTGTTGATAAGTCAACTATATCGGGATCCGTTTGCGGTCTAAATATAAAAGTATCTCCAACAAGAAAGTGTCCTGGTGTCAAATAGATGTTGTCGGGATTTTCTGTGAGTGCACAGAGCGGTCGCGAGTTCATGCACGCTTCTATTTGGTGTAATAATATCTTGAACTCTTCATAAGTGAGCTTTTGCTCTCCAAGAACGCGTTTTAAGTGATATTTGAGGCTTTCACACCAGTCTCCACTCTCCATGAGTCCAGATGCATTGGGCCACGCAGGAGCGTTGAAATGCCACGTAACTCCAACTCACTCACGTCCTTTATGAAATTTGTGTTGATAGATTTTGAATTTGCCGATATTCTTCTTTTAGTAATCGCGAGGTGTCTACAAAATTAGTTCCATTGTCGCTAAACATGTACTTTGGAATCCCGCGGCGGGCGCATAATCTCCTTAAAGCAGCAAGGAAAGAGGTTGAGCTTAAATAGGACACCAACTCTAAATGTACAGCTTTTGTTGCTAGACATACAAAAACAGCCACATACCCTTTGCTTGTTCGAACTCCTCGGCCTTTGGTTGATTTAATGTCAACAAATCCGCTGAAATCCACACCTGTGTTTGTGAATGGTCGTGGCGGAGTGACCCGCGGCTGTGGCAGGTCAGCCATAATTTGTTGATGCCTTTCTTGATTTAACTTGCAGCACTTAATGCATCGCCTGATCTGCTTTTTTACAGCGCGGACCCCGCTGATGATCCAATATTTTTCTCTGGTATATGATAACATGAGCTAAGGTCCGCCGTGTAACGTAGCCTTGTGTGCTTGATCAATGATGAGTTCCATCAGTCGGCTATGGGAAGATAAAATAACAGAGTGTTTCGAGTAATAGCTCAAGTATGCATGTTCGAGGCGGCCGCCGACCCTTAAAATGTCATATTTGTCTATTATGGGAGACAAGCTTGATAATTTACTGCTATTTCTAACGTGACCGTGTTTCTTTAAATAATTTAAATCGTCTTCAAAGTCAACAACCTGAACTTGCTTAATGATTAAATAAAAAGCATGTTGTTTTTCATTCGGTGATAAGACTTTATCATACGGCGGCGGCGACGGATCATATTGCTTATTATTAAGCGCTTAATAAAGTTGTTATTAAGCGCGACACCCAGCCCATTGTCTTAATTACCGTGCTGATTGAGCTATTGTCGTTTAATAATTGCATTACGAATGAAGGTGTATTTGATTGTAAGGCTGCGGTTACACTGGACTTCTTTTCTTCAACTGATGGGGTTGGGTAGGTAATAAGAATAATCTAATCGTTGTTAAACTTAAGTAGCCATTCTGGCCCTTGCCACCACAGAGAATACAGTTGTGTCGTTGTCATACCTCGAGTTTCACAATCCACGGCTTTGTCATCTGATATCACGTGGCGCCATGATGTTGATGGTATGTATTTTAACAGTGGTAGAAGCCACGCGATAGTCTTTGCTGTTGCACTCATGGTCCAGCTCAAACCAGGGTGGTACCACGACCTCACAGTAGACCAGCGTGAAGTAGAGGCTTTGTTTCTGCGTTTCGTCTGGTAGTGCAGGTGGTCGGAGGCCCAATCCCCCCCCCCCCCATCAACATGGTAGCGGAATTAAATGTTAGACTACCCCAGTAGGGTACCAGCACCCCTGGAGAATCCCTCGCTGAGCGACCACGACCAAGCTGCTCCGCACCAAGCTGCAACCTGCACGGAGCAAACGGAGCAATAAGTCAAAGGCGCCCCCTCTCATACTATCCGTGAATTTTTGCAACATCAGGGGACTTCATTAAAACCTTAACGCTGTCCACTACCATCTGGAAACGGCGAAGCCATGTCAGATGACGGATTCTACTGCACTACTAGTGTTTTGCGTGATTCCGAATCTTTAAACTCGAGTGGTGTATTGAGTTTGTGGGATGGTAAATGTACCATATGTGACGGTGGTCAGAAGGTATTCTTCTAGAGGCTGGGTAGGTGAATCTCTCCAGATAATTGATTGGAGGAGCTGATCTGAACTTCTGATAAGTATTTGACGGAACATTTTTTTGTCCGCGGTAACGGCGTATTTATACTTTCTCCACTGAATGATAAGGGTTAGGAGGTCTCCGTGTAGGTTAGGGCCACACTCCATCGAGTCATTGAGGCTGTAACCGTTTCATGTAGGTAGTTCGAATCTAATTTTAGGACTCCATAGGTAGCACTTGGCAGTCGTCGATTCGTGCGTGACGTTCGCTTATCGCTTGTGACCTAAATCTCGGTATTCTTGGATAAAATGCCTATATTTTTCGAGTAAATGTGAATTTTTTGATATTTTTCGCTCCTGCTGAAGGAATTGTACTACTGCTTTGGGCTTGAATGTGCCTAGATGCTTTTGAAAATCGGGTTTCATAGGTAAGGCGACCTCGTACCTACCGTTTTCCAAACGTCGCGTAGCAGCTTGATAAAGATCCTCGCAGTACTGCTCTTCTGCCGTCAGGACTAAAATAGATGACTCCATGATATCTTCTACTTCCCAGAACTTGGTTTGTTCTTTCGTGTTGTTTATGACAACGTGACAGCGAAACGTCTTAACATTGCCTAATAGGATCCATCCCATCTTGGTTTGTTGTGCGATTGGAGCCTGCGCAGGACCCTTAATTAGACCGCTCATGATGAAATCTGAATAGACGCTGGCAACTAATAGTAAATCTATGGGTTTTGATACGTTATATTCGGGATCGGCCAGACTGATATGTTGAAGGTGAGGCCATACTTGTTTGCTAAATAATGAGTTGGGTAAATTATTGATGACTCGTGAAATAACTAGTGCTTGAGTAGAGAACTGATAATCATTATATATCGACATACAATCTAAAGATACCATGCTCTTGCTTTGTTTTGTAGCGGCCCCAATACCTGATACTGATGCATGATACATAATGCGGCGTAGTCCTAGTTTTTGTGCTGCGTTTTCCGATATGAGGGAGATCTTAGAACCAAGGTTAAACAGTTGACGTAGGTGCTATCGTCTGCTTTAACCTTCAATAATAAAGTTGTGAGTAGTATTTCTTCATCATCATTGGCAACATGGTTTACATTATTTAGTTTATTATTTGCGGAAGACGCTGCTGGCTGGTGGATGCCGCATGAGGCACGTGCGGTGTCAAAATCGCGAGGCGGACGTTAGTTGATTAACCAACAATTGCGTCATGAATTAAAGCATTACGTTCACCGTTGCACTCTTTGCACCGTTTAGTGGAAATGCATTTATTGCCATAATGCTTAAATAAACAGTTTCGACAAATGCCGTGTTTCGAAATTGTCCTAAATTTCGCATCCGCTGAAAGGTTCGTGAACCTTTTGCATTGGAACAATTGATGATCAGAATTATAATTACATATAGGACACTTTTGATAGTTAGTAACTACTGCTTGATAATTTCTGTTTATAAATCTTGACTGATAGTTATATTTATTCGGAGCATATTTAGAGGTGTTATGTTGCGGCGACGATATGTTTTTGAAGCTGGTTGTTCCTTCTCTCTCTTGCTTAAGGCCTCGAGGGCGGTAAATTTACTCTCGAATTTACGAGGTGATTTGCGTGACTCCTTTTAATCGCTATACGTATCGGCGTCTAATTTTTCGAGATTAATTGTGCTAGGAGGGGTCCCAAGTCGATGTACCTACACCCAAGTTGTGAATGGCGTGGATACACTCTATATTAGTGTCATGGAGGCGTTTCAACTCGTACGATGACTGCTTGTGTATAGATGGCTGATTCAAAAATACTTCAATTTGGTTTGTAAAGAGTACTTGAGGGTTGTTGTAGCGATGTGTCAATATTTCCCAAGCCATATCATAATTATCAGCAAAGATATGAAGGTGCTGAATGAGACGCTCAGCTTCCCCTTTAAGTTTAGACTTCAAGTGTTGCAATTTTTGAGCCTTGCTAATAAACGCGTTATTATGAATTGTTTCTGTATACAAATCGAAGAAATTAGGCCACTGAGTATATTTCCCCGTGAAAGTTGGTATCTCTTTTTTGGGGGTTGAATGCTTTAAATGAAGAGATGAGGTCAGCTTTCTATTTAATTGTCGTTTGATAGAGACGTAGATTTTTCTACTTTACTATATTCGATATAGTGCTGTTCGTCCTGGCCGAGGAAGATACTGTAAATCATCACCATCATCACAAGTCCACTGCTGAACATAGGTCTCCCCCAAGGTATGCCACAAAGCACAGTCCTGAGCAACCTGCATCCATCGACTTCCTACATGTCTTACCAGGTCGTCACTCCATCTAGTGAGGGGTCGCCCTACACTTCGCCTACCGGTACGAGGCTGCCACTCGAGAATCTTTTTTCCCCAACGGTTGTCAGGTTCTTCGAGCTATATGGCCGGCCCATTGCCACTTCAGCCTACTAATACGTTGGGCTATGTCGGTCACTCTGGTTCTACTGCGGATATCCTCATTTCTAAGTTTATCACGCAGAGAAACTTCGAGCATAGCCCTCTCCATAGCTCGCAGAGCGACTTTAATACTTTATGCTGTAAATGCGTAGATGCAATTCATCGATAAGTAGCCAGCGTCGGTCTAGGTTCTTCAGCTTGTCTTTGATTTCCCATTTTCCTGATAAGTCTAGCTTGTCTATGCACTCTAAAAGTCTACAAAATGCCAGAATATTTGTTCTCTATTGCAACAATAATTCTTCTACTTCCCCGCAGGGCAAGGTAGCTTTGTCGATCATTGATACCTTCGGCACTTAAAATTATATTTTTAATTGCTCGCTCGTCACCGGGGCGTTACTGGGCTTAGGGGTGGGTGTTACAGGGGAAACGTCGATATTAAACGTAGCGCCTCGTAGATTCATAGTACTCCTTGATACGAGCAAATATGTTTTTGGCGAAGTATTCGTGCTGGTTATCCTCGTAACTTGCGAGAGTTCTGACAATGGCTTCAAACTCACTCCACAAGTCACCTAACGCTCGGATCCTCTTCTCAATATACGAGTAGTCCAGAGTCTTGCCACTAGAGCTGTCTTTGCTAAAGTTAACGCCGATGCGCTCTATTGTGACCATAAGTTCGCTCTGACGTACCAATAGCTTGTCCATGATATGAGGAGAAAAGTTGATGCAGCAAAGTAGAAAAGTAAATAAATTGAAAGATCTTACTTGATACTCGACCATTAGCTGAGCGCTAGCTCCCGGGTCAGCCTATGATACCTCTGCGCTGCTATGTGCCAACGATGTAAGTTGATCTTGAAGGAATACACTAGTTTCTTACTTCACCGTTTTTATTTGATGATATTAGGTACTTGATAAAAGTTAGTTTAGATACAGTTTTAATGATAATAAATGATTGTCACTACACATTTCAGTTTTAGTATGATAAAAATGTTCTGTAATTCACAGTTTATATGAGGCCATGAGAACCAGAGTAACCTATCTACCAATAACGAATACTGAGATTTTAAAGGAAAACTGAAAGCTATGATTTTTGTAATAATTTTATGGTCAAATTAATGGTTTTTCAATGTTTTCACTATGCGTATTCTAAATTAAGGTGCTTATTTTGTCAAATTAGGCAGAGAACAAGTCATTCACACTATGGTTTACGTTTTTATTTTCAGTTAATCCACTGTGGTATTATCAAATAAATTAATTAAAATGCTAGTTAGTGCAAAGATATCTCTTTTAATTAACCCAAATCAAACCTATAAAACAAATATTTTGTACTTAACATTAACTAAAGTCGTCTTGACACCATCATCTCTTTGGTGCACATCTGTTGTATTCCTAACAGTAGCACTGGCCCTTGTTGATGTATAGTATAGAACTCTTGGTGAATTGGTGGTTTGTAGTTTAGGAGTTCAAGTAAGTCATTCTTCTTTTCAACACTGATCAATTTTCCATCGGGGTACAACAGGTCCATTAAAATATATAAAATAAAATTTAAAATTCGTGGTCAATGGTATCTACAGTATCTTTATAGGATGATGGTAAGTGATTACCGCCGTCCATGAACAATTGCAACACCAGGGTAATTTCAGATGCGTTGCCGGCCTTTTAAAAAGGTGTAGGCTCATTTCTTAAATTTCCCTAAAGTCGTATCGGTCCAGAAACTTTGGCCTCTCATTATATCTATGAAAATTTGATGTACGTTCACAAAAACAAAGGCAGTTTTAGTAAAAAAGTGACATACACTTTGTAAACACTAGGAAAAAACTTGCTACACGACTCCACAAGTCAGTAATTCATTCTTGGGGCAAAGTCCCAGAAAATATACAAGGCCTCTCTATTACAAGTTTAAATATTTAATTAAACAAAAAATCTATTTAATTAAAAAAAGGGTTATTATGATATATATGAATACATAGTTGATAATAACCCCTGGGAATGAGGTGGTCGCTTCCAAGCTGTTTCTAAAATAAATTTTGTAATTTTTTGTGACAATTATTGCATTGCATACATTGTCAATGAATTGTAAAATTTATTTTAAAAAAAGGTCCCGCTGGGTTTCTTGCTGGTTGTTCCCAGGAAAGAGGTTTTTTTTCGAACCAGTGGTAAAATATTGAATTTCAATAAGAATTACTTGTAATCTATATTGAATAAAAAATTATTCTTTTCTATTCTATGCGATTCCACAAGAAAGTTGTGCGAGGAAGAAAACTTCTTTTAAATCGCATAGTGGTGAACCGTCAGTCATCCAAATGGTATGAATGGTATCGCGAGTTATGTCGCGATGTGCGATGGTGAAATTGTGCGGCTGTAGTTAGTCCGAACAATTCCTTAGAGCACTCCTCTTGAAAAAAATGGATATTTCTATAGAAATTAGATTAGATTGTGATTGGTGGAGTAGAGAAGACATACACGTGACAACCATAATATAATGTGAGAAAGCCAAAAGTTGATTATTTCATTTGAAAATAAAATTGCGATAAAATGTTATTTTATTTATTTTATTTCATCGACACCTATCATGGACACCCATTGTACAGGTGTCCAGTTCACCCTGACTTCTCCGTCTGGGGCAGTCTGGGCTTGACTTTTTTATCACAATATACAAAAAAAATACTCCCACTGAATAAATTAATAACATTTATTTACATAAGAATAATACGGAGACAGACAGCAATCTATTCAGAGAGCCAGTCACATATCAGCGGCAGTTGGAAACCTTACCACGATGAAGACGAACAAGCCCAACCCTGACTTCATTGTGATCCCCGACAAATATAAGGTGGTACATTTTCCCAGCCATATTTATTATTTATCTATGGTCCCAGCCAAACTGGTAGAACCACGCTACACTTATGGATCGGCTCGACCGGTTGAGCGCAGTACAAAATATTAATAGAAATGTAAAAAAATTGCAAAGGTGAGCGGCAAGACCATATACTTTGTGAATGCATCATGACCGATAGATATAGTCGCATTCTTGCCGCTTCACTCTTTTTTTTAAGCAAATAGAAATTAGCTTAGAGGCCTTCATGTTTCGACCTCAAGGGGGAGATATTGTAAAGCTTCCTATCAGTCTTCATGTAAAAGTGTGGACCTTGTTATTCATCTATAAAAGCAGCTTTAAGAAGCAGGGAGATATCCCGAAAAGGACCAAGACCAGCGCTGTTGCATGCTTTTTTACATGTCGAATGGATCAGATGCATACCCATTATTACTGATCCTTTCATTTCTTCGTAAAATTACTTAATGGGAATTGAAGGTGGGCAGTCTATTAGCTCGAGTGTAGTGTATAGACCCTGTCTGTCTAAGCAGACAGTTTTAAGATCTACGAACACTTATAAGCAGTGAGTCTTAATGTTTCCTACATTCTTTAAGCATTCTAATCCGTCCATTACGGGTTAAAAAGTCCAGGGTTGAACATAGATCTCACCCACAGATTACCTCACAGGGGGGGGTTTTGCCATAGATGCCATATTTGCAGAAGGGTAGGCAACTGCAGTTTCTTTTAATTTTCAGTTGTTAATAGGAAGATGCTGCTACCTATCTCCTGTTTCAGTTTCCCTATGTTAGTCATACTAAAGATCTAATGCGAGCAGTAGTATGTGCATGTTAATTTTAAAAACTGTAAACATTTAAAGATCCTTAGAAAGGTGGACCCTATATTTTAATAATAAAACCATGTTTTTAAAATTTACCCCAAATAGTTTAGTTTGCTTTAATTCCCAAGTAGTTGTAAATATATCACTTTTATGTTTTATGTATGTTATAAATATATGAACCGGTTATATGAAACATTTTGTAACTTACTGCAAATAAAATTGTACACAAGATTTTTTAACAAAACTTTTGCCATAAGACCAACCATAAATATAAAATTATCAAAAACCTAACAAGCATAGGTATTTTATATTTAAAGCTTATTAAATTTATTTGCAATTATTTTCGAGTTATTATTATATTTTATATAATTGAAGAATTGGTTTCACCTAATATATAACAACAACAAACAATTGTAAAGAATTACCTATAATATAAACTCATTGTCAAAAGTCTTATTATTTTTTTGAGTATTAAAATATTTATAACTGTAATTTACACATGCCAAGAAAATCTCATATTATTTTAGCGCAGCTACGTAATTAAAATATACATCTAAAATCCCATTACCCTACCTAACTGGAAACAGTCAATAAATGTATATTACAATTTCTCCCTTTTAAAATAATCTACTAATTGATAAATAAATGCTTCCCTTTAACAAATGTTTGAAGTAACAGTAACCTAATATTACAGTGCAGACTGCAAAATCAACAGTTGTGGGTTTGAGTCCCCCTCTCAATTACTGTTGTGAACCGCTCCTAACACAAGCATTTTAAGCTTACCAGGAGTGGTTAAAGGGGATAATAGTAACATCAATAACTAGTCTATAAAAAAAGTTGTTATCATAATGTGCTAGATACAACATTGAACTTGTGTTTTAGCAGAATAAATAACATCATTAATGCCAACTCCATCATAACTACTACCAACAAGGGAAATAGGGAGGTTGTGATCATGAATATACTGCCTTATCTGCTCCACTTTCTCATAATGCCCAATTATATACTGAGGAATACACTTATTTAAAATTTTGACATTGTGAGCTTTTGGCTGCTCTTGAATATTTAAAATAGTAGCTACTTCATGCAGCGCTATATCAAATAACTCTTTTTCTGTCACATTTTCACCAAACTTTTCTTTAAACCACCTGCCACCTAACATTACAGTTAAAACAGTGCCCTTTTGATCTGGAATACAGCAAGAGTCAAAAACAACACCTAGAATTGGGGAATTCTCTATTGGTGGCACCAAAAACCCAAATGCAGGGGATATAAGAGGTTTTTCTGAATCAAAATAGAAGTTTACCAATCCAACAGTAACAAATGGTATATCTTTAAGATTTTGGGATAACTCCGGATGTTGTTTGACAACTAGATCAGCAAGAATGTGTGATGGTATTGATGCATACACATGGTTTGCTATTATTTCCTCTCCAGTTTTCTTTTTTAATTTGACAGTGCTAGAATCCACAAACTTTATCTCTTCTACATTACTGTTGAGTTGTACCTCAACATTATTTTCCCTGAGATGTTGAAGTAATGAAGCAGGGAAATTATCTAGACCACCTTTTATTGTGTAGACATTCCATTTCTCTTCCTGAGCTCTTTTGGCTAATTCACTTAATTCTAAATTGTTATCATTTTTTGTTTTAAACATTGACCTCATCAGACCTTTCATTACGCCTCCATGGGTTTGCTCCCATTCAAAAGGTATTTTCATTAGAAATTTTACTGATATTTCCTTAGCATCGCCAGCACATATCCCACAAATCATGGGTGAAATGGCATAATCCGCTATCTCTTTTCCAAATCTTCGTTCAACGAAATTGTAAATTGAATCATCTTTCAATTGTTTATAAGGGTTTCGCAAATCATTAAATATAGCATATATGAGTGGTCTAGAAAATAGACCATTTTTCTGAAAAATCCCTTTTAAGCTTGAAGGTAATAGATGCAAGGAGTTATTTGCATAAATCATTCTGTTTTTAGCCGCTGGATGATCAAATTTTATCGCATGTACATGTTCGCTGAGACCTAAGTCTTGTATCATGT